TCGTTCGACTGAGTTGGTGTTGCGAACGGAGTTACTTGTGGTTCAGTCTGAATTCGATTACAGATTAATTCTTTCGAATGTACTCGTTCACATAATGATTGAATATTTCACGAGCAATGCATTTGGACAATTAAACAAACTCATCTCTCTTCGCATGCTCAAATTTACAATTAAGGTTGTTCACCTTTATTTTCTTTCTTTCTGCAACCGTTGGAGTTGACAGAGATGACGACGGTGATGGAGAGGATTCTCTTTTAACGTTTGCTGTGTTGATTTGTTGACCCTGCAAGAAGTAGTTTGCTGTTCGCCGAATATATCAAATATTATTTTGGAACACTGATTGAAAGCAAAAATGGAAATTAACATACAAGACCAAGCAAAAGTTGTGCATAGAGCTGTTTCTCGTCGTGTCGTTGTTGTTGCATTATTTGACGTTGAAGTTGCTGCAATGCTTTATCATCAGCACTTTTTTCAGCGTTCTTCTCTGATATTGACGAGGAGGATGAGGACGATATGCGAGTTGCTTCAATTCAAATCAAATCGTTAGGAAACGGCGACATTTTTGAGATAAGGTAATAAATTCAAATACATATTCGTTTAATTTTGAAATGTTGAGAATGCTGAATATTTCACGTAGAATGGATTCACTGACTGCATCACGAATCGAGCAAAACAACAAAGCATTTATAAATCATAGAATGCGTGAACAAATCAATCAACTGAAGGATCAACCATTTGTTTTCGATGGATGTTCACCACTAGCATTCGACGCTTTACGAGATCCACTCACTCCAGAAAGACGAGCGATTTCAGTCAATACTTCATCTTCTGAGATCTTTGTTATTGCCTGCAATGAGTAATTAATTTGCGTTCCATTAGTTGCTTTCTGAATGTACGGTATCAATACGCATATCTGATTGAAGACTTTTCAATTTTATTGCCCAAAACAAAAGTATTCGTACTGGTTAAGAATATCAATGAACTTGAACAACTGTTCAAGCGTTGTCACATGATGACATGAATTCAATGAAGCAATCATTTCAACTTGGATATTCTTATCAAATGCAAATGAATTTAGAATTTGATGACTAATGCACAATGAATAACAAAACGAATGAACTGACAAATCAGGCACCTTGTCAGACCCATCGGCTGATTGCCTGATGATGATGAATTCACCAACAATAATTTTACAACTAAAACTGAAGTGATCACGACATATTGACGTTATATTCCTCTTGTTCAAATACTGAAAGCAATGCTCATCATTACTCTTGAATTCGATGACATCAATTAACACAATGCTGTTTCAATCCACACAATCAATTCTGTTTCATTCTAAAAATTCCTCACCAAATTTATTAATTCAGCAAAAAGTTTCAAAAAGAAATCGCCAAAAAATCACCCGAATCACTTCGGCGTAAGATCCGAGTCGCTTCCCACATGGTGCATAATAAATAACATCGCCACGCACACCGGTCGCACTTATTGACCGAATGCACGTCTGCCGTCTCCATCTGAAATTATCTCATCCATTCATGAATCGGTCGAATTGATCATTCATCACCAAAAATTTCATCGATAAACGTGAATATCGGATTTGAATCAGTGAACAATGTGCAACGAAACACTTTTATAATGACGCGGCGAATGACTTTAAAGTATGATCCATATAGGTTTGTTGATGCAATGCCTCTTTTCAGAAAAATGCATTCGTAACACATTTGAAAATTATCCCTTCTTCTTGGAATATTTTCGATAACTATAAATGACTTCTGAAAGGGAATCACTCAGTTTTTCAGCCCCGCAATTTAACACATTGCTGTAACTGTTCTACATAAACTACGTTCACATTCAACTGTATCCTCTACAATCGTCGCTCGTTGAATGGCATAATGTGTATGGAATTCAATCAGGTTCTGCTGCCTTCAAACAATTTCATAATAATGAAATATATCGGAGAGGATCATTTCAACGAGAAATCGCACTTGAAACGAACGAAAATATTCATTTCAAGTCTAATTTAACGAAAACTTCATTCATCACAAATATACTTCCTTAATCACACAAACGAATGCACACCACAGCCACTCAAACACATCAATAAGCTTCACTAAACGACTCTGTTTTACTGTTTTCTCAAATATTCAATGCAAACAAAACTTCATCAAAATCATCGTCTCAAGATTAGTATAAGACAACGATATGAAAGTTTATTTGTGTTGCTTTGTTAGTTTACGCAAATGTATGCTTATACGAAAACGAATTTAAGATATTTGCTTTGTGAAGTTAGTTGAATGCTATTCATGAAATGATCCCACCCTATCGCAATCAGATGACAATGCGTCGTGAGATAACTTAAACAAGCATGTGATATTGAATATCAATCAAAATACGCAACCCTTAATATAGGCTGGTTTCCACTAAATGTTTTGAAAATTCGATTTGAAATGAAGCGATATCGAGCAACCAGATTTTTGACACTTCTGGTATCGACAAAGTGTTAATTGTATGTTCACAAGAGCTATTTGCACATTTGCACAGTTGTGACAATTCAGAGGGTTGAAAAAGACTGACCCGATGGTAAGAGGTTTACGTATGAGTGTAGCATCAACTTGAGAACGTCGTTTAGCTGCTTCAGAATCTGCAGCACACTCCGAACTTGTACGACCACATGAACCAGCACGATCGTCATGATTTAATGGGACGGGAGTGGAATTGGTGAGGGGTGTTGGTGGGAGAAGGGAAGAAGATAAGGACACAGTTGGATCATCGATTCGGTGTTTGTGGCTTGATAGGTCGAGGGGGGCGTCGAACGAGATACGTGACGTTGGTGTGGTTGTGATTGAAGGGTGATGGAACGACGATGACGCAGTTGAATGCGGTTCGAGTGGAGGACAGCACTGACGAGTGTCACTCTTACGGTGCACACTGCAATTGTTGCGATACTTACTCACTGTTTAAATTGCTGCAACTCAAACAACTAATACGAATACATTGAACAGTGCTGCCACTTATTTGTTTTCGAACAAAACTAGGTAGATGAGATACGACTCTCTAATACGAGATCTAATCGTTCGCGTATTTGCTTTACAAGCGATTTTTTGAGATCGATTTCAAGCGATTTACATCAAATGATCTAAATCAGTAGTTCTCACACTCAAACAGGATAAACTTGAGGAAGCGAAATGGGAATCTGGAAAATTGGCAGGTCAATGCTGTTTGATTTTTCAGAACAGTTCTGCATAGTTATGCAATGATGCTCTCAAAATATTTGTTTGTGCACATTGAATTGTTTCGTGGTGGCAAATTTCTTCTTGATCGGTGAATCAATAATTTCATATTCGTTCGATTTGTCGCTAAGCAATATCAAATAGCCGGAGAAGAATGGATTGCCGTAATGTGGAATTTCGGATGAGAGAATGGCCATCTGTCATACAGCGAAAGGGCATACAAAGAAGCGCTGATATATAATATGATTGCGTGATTTCCGCGAACACTGATGACTTCTAGCGAACAACAAAAGACTAACCAAATGTAATTTATTTTAGGAATGAAAAGTGAATCATCTGAACGACAGTAATGAAAAAGGATCGTGATGCAGACAAACCTTTGATTATTGCTACCGGATGAAGTGTTCTTTTTTGACGTTGGTGTTTTCAATTTTGCCTTCTCGGTGTTGACTGCATTCTGAAGTGCAGCCAGGATAACGTCATTCTGATGTGACGTCGATGCACTATNTTCTCGGTGTTGACTGCATTCTGAAGTGCAGCCAGGATAACGTCATTCTGATGTGACGTCGATGCACTATTGCCTGCCATCTGCGCGGCCAGCAAGGCCCAGCATCGCGCTGACGCCTCGATTAGATCAGCGTTCATTTGCACACCGAGTGTTGACGGTATCGAACCGTTCTTCACTTTCGGCGCTTCCCTTCAACAAACATTTCTCTCACTCATCACAACAATCACACTTCTCATGTAATTTCGAGCGAAATTTCACGTAAAGATTCATTTCGCGAATTTGAACATATGATGAAGTAAGTGATATTGAAACAATTTTCAAGAGGAACGAACTTCTTTTTGGGAATCTCGCCCGGCTCGAGAAGTTTTGTTGAAGTGCGTGTCGGTGTTGGTACCGCTGAAGCAGTTGACGTTGATGTAGATGGACGAGGTATACCGTTGGAGGCGGTGAACGCAGTTGGCCTCGTTCTTATCACCTCTTCTGCGGGAGCGATCAATCGCTGCTTCTTATTTTCAGTTGCAATGCTTGAAATTGACTTCCCTGAAAAGAGACGTGGATGGAGCGAGTTGCGACTATGAGGAAAGTCGGCGACAGACAGGGTCGGGGACGTGACCCCAGAAATGCGATCACTCTGAAAAAAGTTGGCGACCAAAACAAGAACAGGTCCTCGTCCCAATTTATTTTAGAGCGATCATATTTTCACAGTTCCCGACTGCAAATTCCACTGCCCAACTCTCCCCACATCCAACTTTTTACATTCCCCCAACACACTATATGTGCATATTTACACAAGAACAAAAAAAAAACTGTCAGCATTTCGAAAGGAAACATTAAAATTGAATCTGTTTATGAATGCAATAAGAATGGCCAAATCGCCTGTTCAACTAATAATAATCAAACATCTGCTTAACTGTTCGCAAGATATGCTTATATCGTATCGCATCATGCAAACTATATCGCAAACGATTCTAACATACCATTATCGCTGTGTCATTCAAACATTAAGATAAAATAACTGAATAAGTTTAACATGTAATGGTTCAATCAATACTACAATTAAAATTGATTTATTTTCTGCAACACGTGTTGAGAATTTATGCTTCACAGTATGTCATAACAAGGAATAGTGTAAATGACATTCTTTAGTTTACGCTACCTAGTGCGATGCCGTTCAAGAAACAATCCTTCAGTCTAATGCATGTCTTCTAATCAACTAACCTTGAATTAATAATTATAAATCACTCGTTGACAGCAAAACAAAAATAAACTTCTTCCCAACTACCGCACGCAAATCTTCCAAATTTCGAGAGAGGCGATAACGAAGGAAATCAGTTTTTGATGGAAGTGAATACAATCGCATAGAAAAGCAAATCTTATCAAATCAACTCATTCACTGGCAAAAATCATTATGAAACAAGGAAATNAATTTAATAGACGTTGAAACAAGAGTGATCCTAACTAGTGAACACAGTAACGCATTCACAACTAAAGATGGATAGCATTATCTCAGTTTCTCGTCCAACAACATCTACAACTTCTCATCGATAAATCAAAAAGTGAACCAAAAAACTGATCGACTGATCGAGCAACTTATCGCCAAAAACGGTTCGCTGCATCAAAGTGATCAAGAAAATATAACTGTACGACTGTGGAACACTTATGAAAACAAAACAATCAGCAGTGATTTACCAGCCTCCATGACTCATTTCCCCACGTGGGAACGTTCCTCGGTTTACTAAGAGCACCTGTCTAATAATTAAATATTTCATTTACACACCAGCAAGCAACGAAAGTAATCAATGAATGGACTAATTCACTAACCGTTTGTATGGGAGTATTTATTATTAGAAGTGGACGATGCCGATGAGGATGGTGTTGTATTTGTCATTTTCTTGAGCACATCTTCGAAAGATTCCTGTGGTTGTACGGCGTTGTGCATTAGATTATCAGATTGCTGCGTGAGCTGCGCCAAACTATTCCACAACATGAAGTCATTCGCTCCAGGCATGGTCCATCCGAACTGTGGAAACAACATATTCATAGGTGAATTAAAAGGATTTTGTGCTGCGGCAGCTTGTGCGGCTAACAAGGCGAGCATCTGTGCTTGCTGTGCCGCTTGATCACCCATCCTGAATCTGAAACGATACCACCTTAAGATCACTTCAATAGACCAATAGATCGCGTTTCTCGTCGACAATTACCATTGACACTCATCATCAAATAACGCTGAATCAATTAGTTA